CCCTCCTGCTGTAGGGGTACTAGGGACACGGAACCCCGGTTTCAGCCCTCGGGTGGCCCGCCCCTTCCCTCCTTTCCTGCGCTGGGGACTGGGGCAAGCAGGCAGGAAGGAAGCCCGCACCCTGGGGTGAGCTTGCTCCCTCCCCTGCTCTCCCTGTACTCGGCGCTTTCACTTCCTCTGCTTGCTGCTCGCTGCAGGAGCATCTCGGTGCCCGGGCCCCCGACCCTCCCCATGGCCGACACGTACACGTACGCTGTGGTGCAGAAGCGTGGCGCCCCCGCGGGCACAGGGCCGGGGACGCGGGTGCCCAGCAGCGCGGACACCACGCTCTACAGCCACGTGGCTCCGCGTTCCCAGCGGCTGGTGACACACACCGAGGACGCCAGGGGGACGACGCCACTGGGCCATGGTGAGTCGGGGCCCGCCCGGGATGCGGAGCCGAAGGCGACCTGCGCGCACCTGTTTGCGTGTTCCCCACCCTACTAAGGCTCGGGGTGGGGTGGGGTGGGGTCTAAGCAGCCACGCGGAGGTCAGCTCCCGATCCAGTCTAGCCACGTCCCTGGGATCCTGACGGTCGGGGTTCAAGCCCCAAAATGAACCCCAGGTCAGATCTCGGTTGAGAGGTTGGGTTGTCCAAGTCGGGCCCCAAAGACAGACCTCCGGACTTGGCCACGCCCATGGCTCCGCCTCCAACCGGCTACCTCGGGAAGGGAAGTCTGTAGCTGCGCTTTAGGTGGAGTCCCTGGGACTCGAGAAGGCTGCACGAGCTGACCCGTAGGGGTTCTCCCGCCTGCAGTTCCTGCGGATCAGAACCCTCCCGGGCCTGATGCATATGAAGAAGTAACAAATGGAGCGCAGACTGGTGGTCTAGGTAAGTCAGTTCGAACCTAGGGTGCAGCTTTGGAGAGCTCCAGGAGTTTGGGAGTTTGGACTGGGGCGCGGGATTCTGGCTAGGTCCTTCAATACCAGGACCTAGGGGCGCGCCTGTGGGGAGGGGGTGATGGTGGTGGTGGTCTGGGAGAGGTTACCTGTTCACGCCTCAGCTTCTGCATGGCGCCCTTCTTCTCTCAGGCTTCAACTTGCGCATTGGAAAGCCCAAAGGGCCACGGGATCCTCCAGCGGAGTGGACACGGGTGTGAGTGCTGCGCCAGTTACGGCCTGTCTCTCAGTGGTGGCTGGACTTCTGCAGCCAACATGCTGCTGTGCACTGTGTTGGGAATGGGACTTGTGGGTCTTCATCAAAATAAAAGTTTCTCAGGGAGGAAAAAAATAAGGGCTTTGGCCCAGTGATTATAGCAATCAGACCCGGAGACTTGGAGAGGTAAGTG